GCATTCCCCCGGAGGAGCTGGAGGAAGTGTCTGGAGAGAGGGAAGTCTGGGCATCTTTGCTTAGACTGCTGCCCCCGTGACCTGGTCCCAGATAAGCGGAGGAGGATGGATGAATGGATGGATGGATGTTAGTTTTTAACAAATGAAAGGTATGGAATCCACTCAGTCTAAATATTTGATCACAGATTGAAGTGTTAATATATTAAAATGTTTCCATACACATTTCCTACATTAAAACATTTCTTATAAATATTTTAAAGGCTTTACCTCGAGGTACTGACTCAAAGTGTCCTGTTTGCAGAAGAACTTACATAGTTGTAAATTAAAGTCCCTTTGTATCATTTTGTTTTCAGTTCGTCCCGCAGCTTTTACTACTGATCGGAACAAATATAAGTAAACAGATAAAAATGACACGCATGCAAAAGGAGAGTTGGTCAGTGTCAAGTCAAACACGCGTAGACGGAATATACACAAAAATACAATATAGATAGAAAATAGAAACAGCAATTAACATAAAATATAAATAAAACACTGAATATGAGCAGTGTGAAAGACGTACAGTGTTGTTCCACTGGTGCTGAATCAACTCGGGTTTAGAAACAAAGAAAAATGAATAAAGTCTCTTCTCCTCTTTTGTGATCTCATTGAATTTCCTTGTTCCTCCTCCTCTCTGTCTTCATCTCCTTCCATCCCTTTCATGTCTGATTCTTTATTCCCTCCTTCATTACTCCACTCAGCTTTCTTGCTCCCTTGTTTCCTTTCCTTCCTCCCTTTGGCCTAGTCATCCTTCAATCTCTTCATTGTTCTTATTCTCTTGTTGAATCCTTTGTTGTCGTCCTTGCACCTCGATGTTCCCCCTCCTTCCCCTCCTCCTCGTCTCTCTCTGTCTTCACTAAAATCGTTCTTCACTGTCTCCTCTTTGATCTCACACCTTCACACAATCTATTACGTGTCAAATCAAGTTACTATCACAGCTGTTTCTGCAGCATCTGTTGTCGTGGTAACAGGCAGCAGCATCCCTTCATCTCTTCAGGGCGGGAGACATTTGGTCCCCATACATACACACAGCAGCATGTATGTGTGTGTGAGTGAGGATATTTTTGGAAAGCGAGGACATTTTGGCCAGTCCTCATTTTGTGAAACAGCTTTTTGAGGGTTAGGACTCGGTTTTAGGGTTCAGGTTAGAACTGGGTTTAGGTTGGGGCTTGGGAAAGGCTAGGGTTAGGCATTTAGTTCTGATGGTAAGGGCTTAGGGAATGCATTATGTCAAGTCCTCACAAAGATGCTTTGCCCTGGTAACATCATAATGATGTCACAGTGATGTCATCATGCCCAGCGATCACATGCTGAAAGATATTATCCAGGTGCATCGTGGGCAATGTATGATCCAGTGGTTTTGGACCAAAAGTCAGGATTTCTCCACCTGTGCTGCACAGATATATTATAATGAAGCACTAGAGGCAAAAAAAAAAACATATTTTAAAAAGCAATAAAAACCAGAAAAAAAGTGAATGAAACAAAATAAATTTACAAATAATCAATAACAATGGACCAGAAATGCAGTAACAGTGCACGAGAGAAACCAAGTTCGACCCAATTTCAGGTGTTCGGTGCCCTATTGACTCCCCACCTGTCTCTATATCAATGCCTCTGACTCTCCCCTCCCTTTCTCTCCACCTGTCTGTCTCTCCCCCTCCCTTTCTCTCTCTCTCCCCCTGTCTGTCTCTCCCCACCTGTCTGTCTGCCTCCACTCGCAGCGGCTCTCTCCCAGCAGCAGCAGTGATGCTGAGGAGACCCAGTGAAGCGGCTCCGGTCCTAGACCCCACGCGGTAAATGAGACATAGATCGTTCGTGTTCCGCTGGATTTCTTTCTAAACAAACGTTGCGGGGGATGGTGTCGCAGCCTGAAGCCGGGTAATCAGACGCAGAGGCCGGCGGCTAGTTGGCTGGAGGCAACCAGAGTTAGGGCTCTTGGCTGAATCTCGGCTTCCGTGGAGGAGTTTTTCCGCACGTTTTTGGATATCCGGGCCGTCTTTGAACAGGTTCTCCGTCCGTGGTGGTTGACTTTGGGTGCACTCGATCCTTGATGCCCCGGAGGCCCGGTGGAGCTCGGACCAGGGCTCGGACACCGTGGAATTAGGGGGGGTAGGTCGGCTCTAGGAAAACCAACATTTCAGCCCGCCATGCTAATATGTGACATATACAGTTATATGTTTTAATTAAATGTAATGTGATGATTTATGTACATACAACTTCTCGGTGTGGATCCACATGTTCGCTGACATTAACTGAGCGATATAATGTTAGAGGAAGAAGCTAGCTGGTGGCTAGTTGTTAGCATCTTAGCATTCCATTGTCACAGCCCGTTGGGCTACACAGGCTAACGTGCTAGCTCGGCAACAGCTATGAAATTCTTCCACTGAATGCACAACATATAACACATTATTTGCTGTTCAAAATCTTGCTTCCTGACCACTTTATTGACGGTGTTTGGTAAATTATTTAGGGTGTTTAGACAGAAGGGGCTGTTGTCATCTGGTTAGCATGCTAACGCTAACAGCCTATTGCAAGGAGAAGCCTCATTTCCCGGCCGCTGTGAGCACAGGGAGCTGCCTGTTAGCATTAGCGTTAGATTCTCCCTGGTTGCAACACTACCAGGAATCTCAAAATGTCTCCTCCTACACTTTCATTTTGTCTGACGTTTTCTTGTCAGACCGAGACAAGACGGGTGAATCGGGACAACACCGCCCGGTTTATGTCCTTTTTAAAATAAAAAATTGTAACCTTGTTATTGTGCGCGTGCACGCGGCTCGGGGTAGAAGGGGTTGGTAGTTTGAAAACCCGACACTGAAACCGGTTTACAGCACAATTTAATTCATAGGATTTATTCACAGTATGTCACATAGATATTATATCTAATTGACCAGGATGATATGGTTATGCTGACATTTACAGATCCTGTATTTTCCAGCTAATATCCTCAGAATTAGCTGGAAAATTATAGGAAAAATCCGTGTTGATAAATTAGTGGGATATTTCCACAAAAGGCTGGCACAATGCTGCTAATTTACATGACAAATGGAGAAACCTTTAGGTGCTGTAGTTATTACATTATATCCATGTTTTAAGAGAATAACGATTTTTTTCCTAAACAAGTGTCAGTATGCCTTATGGCGTAGGGTGTCAGATCTAGGCTCTGCATGCTAGTCAGTTAAACGCACACCACTCCAGAGCGTGTTGTGTGGTCCTCTGGCAGGTGCAGCGACTCTACAGGGACAAGTTTCTCTGAATTCCTCTTAAGGCTTGAAGACATGATTGAATGAGTATAAATGTATTCAAAAGTAACCTTAAAATCTGCTTAAAGTGTGAAAAATAAAAGCACCCACTTTACACAGGTCTTGAATATCTGCACCTGACATGACTACAGGTATTTTACTATATTACTATAGTTGTACAGGGTATATGCAGCACAGCATTATATCCTAGCTGTGGTTCTGTCTTCGTTCTGTTTATTCAGTGTGTTTGTACTGAAATGATAAACTGTTGTTCTGCTGTTGGCACTAAACCTCAGGTGTTACATTAACGTCACCACTGACCTGGTGAGCAGGTCACCGAGAGTGAGAGCTGAGGGCAGGTGCAGCAGGTAGCGTTCAGCTCAGCTGAGTCACACACCTGGTGACTCGGGTGCTGAGGGAGCGACTAGTGGAAGGCGTTAGTTTGTTTTGTGACTGTAAAGTCAATTCCTGACATTTTAGACCAGACAAGGACTGCAGCTAATGATTTTCATTATCGATTAACCTGCCACTTATGTCCCTCATTAATTGATTAGTTCTTAGGTCTATAAAATCATCATAACAGTCTGTGAGTCCAGGGTGTCGTTTTCAGATGTCACATGCTGTGTAAAGATAATCAGTTTATTGTGGCAGAAAACAGGAAGTCGTCACAGAACTATAGCTGATCCAAGTTGAACTAATTTAAATGGTCGCAGGAGATGGAGTTTCACTATCGACAGGAATTAAACTGGTCCAGTTCATGTGTTGGTCCTGGAAAAGTCTGTAAGGGTTGTATAAATGGTAAATGGTCTTATACTTGTATAGCGCCTTTCTATGCTTTTACAGTACACTCAAAGCGCTTTCACATTATTCGGCCATTCACCCATTCGCACTCCCAAGCACTCACGCATTTACACACCGGTGACATCACCGGGAGCAACTGGGGGTTCAGCGTCTTGCTCAAGGACACCTCGACATGTTGACTGGACAAGCCGGGAATCGAACCACTAATCCTCCGGTTAGGAAACGACCCGCTCTACCTCCTGAATAGTGTCTTGTCAGAATGGCTACTGAACTAGTTTAAGTGTTTCCTAAGTCATAGTTAAATCAAGCATGTTCAGCTGGCTAACAAAATAGACCAGTTGGCAGGTAAACTAAGTGCCTAATAAACTAGTGCGTTTGCAGTATGTACTTGTTACAGTGGCACATAAGTCGGCCAGTGACCTGCTGGTTTGTATGTGTGGCTGTAGCAGAATTCTGGCTTAAAGGTTAAAGAAAACTAAACAAAATGGTTAATACTTTTAAGAAATGGTGTTTACAAGGAACCAGAGAGCACACCGCTGCATGTGTGTTTGTCCTCTCCTCCTCTTCTGTTTACCTGCCCTTTAACCAGCTGACTGTTCAAACCACCCTCGGTGCTCTGGCTCTGTTGTCACTTTAGTCTGATAAAATATTGGTAATCAAATAATCACCAGATAAAACACCTTATAATTTCCCCACGGTGTGTTCAGTAGTCGGATGATGTATTTACTGGACAAGTAGTGAACTCTAAGCTGATCACCCCGCAAGGCATTGTGGGTACTGGAGTCTTTATAATAAATATAATAGAAGCTTAATTGGTGGCACTTTCTTGAAATTGCAGCATTTTTATTGTAGTTTGGTAGAAATCAAACAATAACGAGATTGTCTTCTTTGCCGTCACTGACACATCACTTCTGTAGAGGGCAGCGAGCCAGATGGGAAGTGTAGTTTATAACTGAACTGTGTCAGCTGATTGCACATAATGAATCTGTCTGTTTCTGTCTCTGCAGGAGTTGGTCTGTCTGTTTCCCTGTCTGTCTGACTGGACCCTGGTGGGCCCCGTCCTCCCAGCATGAACCCCCTGAACCAGATGAAGGCTGGACTGGCCAACAACCCCCACAGGTACACACGGCCATACACAACCACATACACTAAACACAGTCTGGGAGCGTCAACAAGTTGATTAATAGTAGAGCTGTGAAGTGTGAGGCGCCTCTAGGTCCAGAGGCGTTGTCCCCCACCGTTGTCATGTCGCTTTTCTCTTCAGGTCAGTGCTCATATCAGCCCTACTGACAGAAACCAGGTTTTAAAGGAGCAGAAACTTCCAGAAGAGTTTCAGATGTAATTTGTAATAGTTGTCTCCAGCACTGGGACATTATCTGTGGAGGAGCTCAGCGCACACACTGACCTCTCTCTATGTGTCTGCAGTGAGGGTTCATACCCCTATGACCCCTCCAGCTGGCAGCAGCCCACCAATCAGCCCACAGGATCCCTCTCCGTGGTAACCACTGTCTGGGGAGTGACCAATCCGTCAGCCAGCCAGGTATGATGTCATCCAACAGGAAGGAAATGATGTGGAACTATTCATTATTTGGACAGAAGAGAAGTACACACACCAGATTTATCTTACCGCCGTGGTTACAGGCGCTTTGCAGAGGAGTAGTGAAGATTATAACAAAGTCTGATGTATTATAGGTTGAGGTAAGGTCGGAGTGCTCCGCAGTAAATAAAGTCATGAGGATGAGCTCCAGGTTTACCAGCTGCAACTCAAAATGCTGTTCACTTAATGCATGAATGTTTATTATAATGAATTATGCATTATTCTGAAAATATGCCATTTTGTGACTACTTTTTATGCTCCAAGTACATTTTTCTGATTAAAAAGTTTGTACTTAACCTAAATAACATTTTGAAATCAGGACTTTGACTTGTAACAAAATATTTATACAATGTTATTTCTACTTTTACTTAAGTAAACGATCTGAGTACTTCACCTGCCGCTGCTCATTACACACAGATGATTAGAGGCAGTTTTATACATGTCACATCCCTGCTAATGAGTTTGGATCTCATTATGAAGTGTGTGTTTCTGTGTCTGTCAGGGTCTCGGTGGAGGGGTCATGGGCCCCGGAGCCAATCCAACTGGGGGGCACATGATGCAGGGCCCAGGGGGGCCGGGCATGGCCGGTGGGCCCGGAGGGTACATGGGCCAGCAGGGCTATGGCGAGCCCAGCAAAAGCTATATGAGCCAGGGCATGTATGGCCGGGCGACTGGGGGTTACGCTGGAGGACCAGGACAGGGAGGGTGGTGTTGGGGTTTGGGTTTTTTTTTTTTTTTTTTACCCTGTCTTTTATAGGTTTAATCTGTAGTTACACTTTTTTTTTTTTATAAATCCTTTAATTCTCAGGGTTTTATCAGAAAACAGAGTTTACACTTCCTGTCTTGACACTTAAATGCACACAGACCTTTGGTGTTTGCAGTTCAGGCAAGGTTAAAGTTTCTTTCCCT